ACCACTCTACTAAAGTCCTTGTAATTGAACCTTTTACCTTCTTTTCCAGGGGGAAAGCTTCCAAGGCAGAGCACACCCTTCCTTTGCATTATCTGAGCCAATGTACTTTATGTGTGGGAATTCTTACAGCTTCAGCACTACATGGATTCTGCTTCCAGTGAGGTCAAGGAGCTTCAGATAAGGAAGCTATGTTTAGCACTTCTCAAAAATCCCACAGAACAAACACCTGGTATATTGTCATACCAGCAGAATTCAGCCTGTTCTCTGCATCTCTGAGGAACACAGAACAGAGAGTGAGACTCTGCAGGTTTTGGTCTCAGTTCAGAGCAGACAAGCTGCATTTATCCTTTCTAAATTAATGCAGTTCTTAGGAATAAGGCATTTAGCAACACACAAGCTGAAAGAATCAGCCACACTCACTTCCTTGTTGCAACTCCACAGGGAACAGATGTGTCAAGCTCAACCTCAAGGAGAACACAAGCATCTCAGCTGTTCTTTAACAGGCCCCAGCAGCTGCTAAGGCAACACAGCCTCCTCAAGCTAAATACACCAAGTGTCCCAGTGAGGACACTGGCTCCCTAAACACTCTTGTCCCAGAATTTTCTATTTATTCATTTGACTTAAATTTTCAACATACAGGACAGGAGGTTCTTAGACCACAATCATGTTTTGCCTCAACTGCTGCTCTCTATCCTGTTTTGCAACCCCTTTGAACAGATTTCCAACTGTGCCAATAGCTACTCTCAATAGCTTGCCATCCTGTAGCAGAGCTAGAGGAAAAGAACTCTGCAATGTTCACCTCTGTTATGAAAGACCTGCTTGGACAAGCAATTAAAGTGATCTCCCAACTCTTACTTTTCCTCCCTCACAAACATTTAGCTGCTAAGTTTTATAGCTGAAGCAGCTGAGGTACCAGATAGCCTCTTTGAGGGAACAGAGGAACTCCAAAAAGCAAAAATTGTATGTGAAAGACAGACATTAAGACTAGATTCCCAATTAAGTACTCTCTAAAATTTTCAAGCAGCTGAAATTAGGCACTTGGCCACCAAAGGATTTAGCAGATGCCCAAGCTAACTAAAGAAGCTTTTAGTGTCAGGAGAGATCACACAAATACGGTGTTTCTTAGGAATTCTGTTCCCTGTGAATACTCAGGTAAATCTAATTTCTCCTTCCCTCCTCTCCCCAGGAACTACAGACATCAATAATGATTTTACTAAAGTCAGCATCACCTGCCATACAACATGTCTAGAGTTCACATCTTCATGCTTCAAAGGCAAATCTGCATATATGTTCCTCTGTAGAGACTCTCTCAAATCACATTATCAGACAAAACCACCAGCTTTACTGCTGTTTTGTTCTAATGGCACCTGCAGTTATTTCCACCTGTTATAAAAAAAAAAGAGAACCAGAAGAAGCTGTAAAGGAATAAATTGTTTATTATTTCTTTACATCAATCTTTATAAAAATAATATCACTTACGTTTTGTGATTCAAATTTCTTGTACCGTATATTGCCCATTTCTAATGTGGCACTTAAGGGAAAATCCACTTAACCAGCTACACAACTTCATGAAATTGATTAATTTTCCATTTCTCAGTTAAGCATGAGTGAACATACAACTCTGTCAAATTTAACACCATTCATTCCTGATGTCTTAAGGAAGAAAAAAAAAATGTTTCCCTTTCTGCTGATATATCTCACCACATGTACAAAGACTAAGGGAATGAGGAGAATCTCTCACAGAAGACACCTAAAGGGCAACAAAAAAGCTGTTTATTGATTATATAGATGGTAGCAAAAACCCCACCAAACAATCTGGTAACACTGGATGATAACACTACCTGTACGCATGTACAGGTAAAGCTGAAATACTGTGCAGTTTTAACAGCTAGAGGTCTAGTGCACCCATTTTTTGCCTATTTAACAGAAGATAATGGAGCATTTTAAACAAGTAAGCAGAAGTGTCACAAGAAAACCACACATATGTGTACCAAGATGAAGGAATATTATGCAAGATGCAACTTAGTGGTTTGGTTTACATCACATGTACTGGGAACCACAGATAAGATACTCTTTACACCTATATGCATGATGTTGAAGTTAAAAAATAGTCTTAGCAGTTCTGATTTGCATTTAGAGGTCAATTTCCTACTAAGTGGCTGGCATGAATGTTAAATCCTCATGCAGAATTTCAGGAGTTTACCCCTAAATACAAACAAGTTCAGCTTCTGCAGGGCCCTGAGCCACACTGTACCTCTGCTTGGTTTCATTTGGTTTAAATACTACCTGTGTATCTTGCATGTCCCTAACTCGTTACTACTCTTGAAAGTTATCAGATTCAGCACCACTAGAAAACTTCTAGTCAAAGATATTTGCAGCAACAAGACAAGCTTCCCTGGATGTTGCATCTCATTTTTGTTCTATGTACATTTCTAGAGGTCAGGGATTAGATGCCTCTTCAATTTTTTTGCCTTTTAACTACAGCATCAGTATCAATGCTGAACAAAACAAAGCCAACAGCTCACTGGGAACTTGAGTATAACAGCATCAGCTCATTTCATACTTGCAAGCTAACAAAATACCTAAAGACAACGTAATTTCCATAAGCTTCCTAACATTCACATATTAGATTCACATGGTGGCATAAGAAACTGAGTTTTTACTGTACAGTTGGGTAACAACTTACATAATAAAACACAGCAACACACACAAATTTAACCATCAGCACAACTATAAAAAAGAAACCATCCTGTGAGAGTGTAGATTGTTTTGTCAGCTAGAGAACTTCCTGAACAGTTGCCCTAAATTAGTTTTATTTTCACAACCTAAGACTTCAATGAAATCAGTCTGAAAACATCTCCTGAAGTCACAAGACTAGTTCAAAGGGAAGACTCAAAACCCAGGAATGACAGACTTTTAGGAATAGGGTATGTACATACTTCTCAATTCTTCACCTTAACATTTCAACTGTTGTGACTGGAAAGATCTTCAGCTTAGAAAGATTTCATTTAATACTTGAAAATGAGATTGAAACAAACAAAAAGCAGACATTACAGACTGATTTAGAGACCAGCTCTTTCAAAACCAAGACAGCATAACTAGAAAATTAGAAAACCTGGTCCCATTTTTATATTTAAACACTGATTGTAAGTAAAAAAAGAATACAGTACATGCAATAATATGAAAAACCTGCCTAATAAACTCAAGTATGCAATCAAGAGTAACTAGGGAATAAAAAAACAACAAACTACTGCTTACAATAGACAAGATAGGGGACTTTTTAGAAGACTAATATACCAAGCAAGATGATAATATCCTATGTCCCTCACTGGCAAGGATTTGTTGGCTAATTAAAAATTGCCACACAAGAAGAAACATACATTTTCTATCTGATAATATGCTTATTTAGAGAAGGCTACAGATACAGTCTCAAAAAAAAAAGTGCTATGCAACAGAAGCAGGATTTCTCCCTGCACACACTTAGGTTTTTCTAAAACCATTACAAAGTCCTACTTGTTCTCAGAAAACCAAAAAGAAAAAGTAGAAGCTTGATGCACTTGACCACTTCCAACCACCAGTTTCGTTTGTCGCTAATTAATCATGTCCCCAGAACTGGGTGATTTGCTGCCTAGTATCTGAATGCCAGTTGTGATAAACTGACACATTTGACACATCCAGACACAACATGGAAGTCAGTCCAACTTTCTGAAGATACAAAAACTCCGGAAAGAATCTGCAAAAGCCCAGAGAAGAGCGAGCATCAAATAAATCTTTTCTCGTCCTCACAACCATTCAGCAGTGTTGCTGTCATCAAATGAGAAAGAACTTCCATTGTCAGAAACTCTCAATGTTTCCTTACAGCTGTCCTGTGAGACATGCATGCAACACTCCCAGCAAAGCTGAGCACAATGAGAGAATACTGCACTCTTATACTGGAACAGGATCTTGAATTTCAGTGTGCATGCTGTGACCTTTAGGCTCGTTTATTTGATAAATATTTGTTTTAGGAATCCTATCTACTGCTATGTTACATTAGTTATACAGTCATGCAAAAGGAACACTATGTTTCTTCTTAAATATCAAGACTTCATCTTATTTTAAGCCCTAAATAGGAAGAAGCATTGAAATGAATAAAAATAAAAACAGCTTTCAACAGATACACACCTAATTAGCTACTAAACCACGGTAGTCCTGTGGCAAGCTCCATTCTTCTTTCATAATGGCTGGGTTTTGGTTGTGGCTTCTTTTTTTGTAATCAAAAAAGTGAACAGAAATTAAATTGACTAAACAAAATTTCACCTACAAACCCCTTGCATTGATGAGAACCTTTATCATCACAGCTGCCCAGCAAGCCATAAATGATGTTTGATATCACTGTTTCAGGATACACTGAACATTCTGTGACAAACAGGTACTTATTTTACCTCTTAAGTAAATATATTCACGTTTTCTGTTTGATGATCTGTTTCATGTCACTTCAGGAAAAGACAAAGGAATGTACAAGTTCTTCCTGTGCTTCATTTCACACTTTTCTAGTTTGTGACCTCAAAAATGACTAGTTTATTCAAGGACAGCATGATGAAAGGCATTTATTGAACCAACCTGAAACCAAAGAATATGATGTCCTCCCACACTGAACCTGCACTACAAAAAACATGATTACGTTAAAAAAAAAAAAACACAACAAAGAATGGCAATAAATGTAGTAAACACAGCATGGACTTCTCTTACCTCAGTTTCACATACAGGCACTGACAGTGCACTGCAGGAAAGCAAATGGCAACTCAGCTGTTTGACTAAACTGAGATGGGTATTAAGTGCTCTACATACAACTCCAAGAACATAAATGTAAACAGAAGTGTTTGGCCTCCATACAGAGCAGTACTTCTGAAAGTGCTGGGGTTTGGAAATCTGTCCTGCATATTTCCAAAAGCAACTAGATTACATTCTGTTTGACAGGATTCATCAAGTGTTTTGGAGGTTAACTCACTTTGGTCACAATCCCAAAGAAAAATTTATGTTGAATAGTTTCAACTATCTTCCTCATCATCACTAATAAGGTCTCTTTTTTCTGCACATGTGTCCCGTTCTCGTAGAAAATCCTCACGAATGGCTTCCAGTTCAGTGAGTTCAAGACGCACTTTCTCCAGGTGGTAGGTCCTCCTGTTCCTGATCTGGCGTAATGGAAAAGGATTCAGGTCTCCAAAAGCAATACCAGTCAGTTTCCTGTAAGATTACACAATGTTAGAAGGCAATAATTCGTATTTGGTGCTTTTAAAAAAATCAGTTTTTATCTTCATCCATATCGATATTTAGTATATAGCCAGTATCTCTGGTCTCCCTCATGTACCTGACAAGTCTCAGATGTTATCAGTATGGCAAGAAGGTTCTATAAAACACTCGGTTTTCAAGTTATTCCAAGTAATAAAATATTACTCAACAGTTCCCAAAGCCCCTTGCACACTCTATAGGATGCTGTAGTGATTACAGCCTCAACAACACTGAGCAGAAGATGTAGGCTGGAATAATCAGAGCTCTCCTGGCCAGGTTGAACATTTGGTGCCCATTATAGATTAGATAACTTCCTTCTGGAGCTCTTTCAATCCCAGGACACTCAGCTCTCAAGTTATTTAAGATAATGAGGTGGTCTGAGAGGCCAAATTAATCCTGGGATAATGCAAATACAAGGATGATACAAAACATGTATAAGCCAAATGTTATACCGTGGGAAAGCTGGGGAATTCTGCTGGCTGGAGCAGAGATCTCTGAGCTTGGGTCAACTCCAGCTTGGCAGATCCCACAGAAAAGCATCACAAGAATATCCACCACACTTCCAGAATGCTGCATCATATGACCATTCAGTCACAGCAAAACTGGTAACTGATCTGCCTTGGCAGTCCAAAGACAGAGTTAACTACGTGGTTACTGCTGAGCTAAACCTAAAAAATAGCTCATCATTTACTGCAGGAAAAAGAGGAACTGGAATTTAACTCATTACAGTGTAATTATCAGATAAAATATTAAGAACATCTCTTAATTTCTTATTTGGACAATTTATTTAAGGCTAAGCTCTCTCTAGATTTGTATTTTTGAGCGAACAGGACTAATTTCCTGCTATTTATAAACAGAACATATTCCAACAGCTTCTCTCCCTGTCTGTGACACACTACAAAACAAACCTTCCATCTGTAGAAAAGCCTGACATCCTATAACCCAGAGTATAATTGTACACATGTCTGTAAAACTCTTCTCCACTAGAAAGCCTGAACTTAGAAAATCTGTGCAAAACCATTTCTTAACCTGTTCAGGATGCCCATGAATTCTATAAAAATAATCCTTCTGAATTATTCCTCTACACAAGTTGATTTTTTGTCCCTATCAGTGATGATCTCATTCAACATGCTTTTGTAATGTTCACATTTTGATGCTGTAAAACCTGTATAAAAATGGTAGATTAAGAAGCCAGGTGGTTTGAACCATGCCCTGTCAGTTCCAGCAGGCAAATTCACATCCCCTGGGTGGCACTGCAGCACTGATTTCAACTCTGGCTTGGAAAATCCTAAGAAAAAAGATTTACAGACTAGCACAGAATACATTTGTATTGTAAAGTATCTATGATGCACTGAATTCTGTCATCTGAACTCACTTCACCACCTGCAAAAGACACCCAGTTAGCTCATTCTGTTAGGACCAAAATAAGAGGTCTTCCATCAATAATTAGAAATCTTTACAATAGGTTATTTCAACACCAGAAAGTCTAGTCAGGAGAGCAAAGCCATAATCTTCTTTACATAACTGTAAAATGAAGGTAAAGTCTGATTAGATATAAAAATTCTGTTCAAATGAGGTAAGAGAAAAAAAAAATATTTATTTTTCCTTCTCCTTTTCTTTTGCAGACTTTAGTTTATGGTGATATTGCTGTGGTACTAGTGGGACTACACATTACACAGTTGATAATAAGCTTTAAAAATGCCTATTTATCGATTATAAATACCCACAAATTGCTTTATTTATTATTTTCTGTTAAGAGTTATGTGCAGTCTTTTCCTACAATCAAGTACATACTTCTCTTGTCACTTCAAGATTGGGAATCAGAGTCAGCATTTATTTTGGTCACAAACAGATGAGTCCAACTCTCCAGCATTTTTCAAATCCAAAGGGGAAAGGCTAAAACACAAAGCACCACTCCATCTCAAGAGTTTTTGGACAGTTTCCAGCAGAGGAAGCAACATCTGTTATCAACAATTTTACTGTTAAAATCAGGTGCAGAACATTCTCCCTGCATCAGTCCCAGCAATCCTTTTCAAGCCCAGAGTAAGATTATTCAGTTTTAACTTCTCTTCCTGAAACACAGGAAGTAAATACAACAAATAGCTCTTGCATTTGGAGCCAAAGTATAAGCCTAAATTCATATGGAATCTATTATAGTTAAAAACAATTCAGATTCCAGTGTATGATTCTGTACTAAATTCAAAATCTGTGAGTTTCAATATCTGTACAAAACACTTTCAGACACTAAACCAATCCCAGTATGGCTTTTTAAGATTAATCTGCTGCTCTACAGTCTTGAAACTAGAACCTAAAACATTAGACTCCAATTTAAAACTGTAATTCCTCTGCAAGAACTGAAAAACAGAGGAGCATCTAATTTGTATTTATTCTCTGCTTCAAATCTTAAAATCAGCTGGGGTTACTTGGCATTAGCCTGTGCATGAATGCTGCACCAGAGATCTAAACCTAGTGGGTCCTAGCTCACATTTTTAATGCTTGAGCCAGGATTTGTTTTTATTTACCATAAAACATTTCACAACCTAAGTTACATGCAAAACTCAGGGTGAAACTTCACCTATGGTTGAAATCCTTAGGTGTTGCTATCATGATACAACTGCTAAACACAAGCAACTTGGCAAAGCAAATTGCATTCATACCTAAAAATGTACAATGATGCATTCACCAGTTCAGCATTTCTTTCTGCTAGATAAACTACTCATGATAAACTTTAGTAGTTTCATCTGTAGTTGCTTTGTATCTAAATTAAGATCTAGATAAAAACAACAAAAAACCCAACAGAAGCCTTCTCCTCTGTGCTCCACCACACACCTTCCAGTTGCACACAAGCTGGAGTTACCCACCTCGCATCAAGCACGGTGCGGGTGAAATAGCGAAGGTACTTGAAAATGGCCATTGAGTCCTGCAGCTTTAAGATTTCCTCTTCCTTGTACTTAAAGAGTGCCAGGGCAAATCGGAATATTACCTGGTAAAAATACATGCCATGTTTGGTAATTTGTAAGAACAGAATGCACAATTCTCATGACTACCTGTTCTAAACTCCAAGGAGAAGTGTTCCTCTCCTCACCAGCTGCATCTGCCCTATTGACTCACACCTCGCTCCACCTCCCGTCCCTGCCACCACCTGCCCCAATTCCCATTTCCAAAAGCTTCTGCTGTGGCCTGGAACCAAGACAAGCTGTTCTGCAGTACTATCCAGAATAAAACACTGGGTTTGTAGCATATGAATCCTTTGGAGTTTTGAGTTCCTAATACGGCATAGAACAAAGGCTGTTGGGCCTGCTGAATGCACAGAAAAAGTGACTTCAGAGCTCAAGTTTTGCTTATTAAACAAGCAGTTCCTCAGTGTGCCTTGAGTTACCCCACCAGGCTGAGGGACTGAGGCTGAAGGAATTGCTGATACCAGCGTGTCAATCAACTGAGAGAGTTGGGAGCAGCTTTTTTCCCTTCATTCTGAAAGGGCTTCAGTAGGTTCTGCATGAGTCAGCCTCACAGCTGCCTCACAGAATGCCAAGGTGCTTCACACTGATTGGAGTGGACACACCCAAAATACAACTGCATGTTAGACTGCTCAGGTGCAGCCAGCAAGATATCTAGCTAACACACAGGTTTTGTCTGCTTATTTGTAAATCCTGTTCTCTCAAATTGCCTAATTCCCCACAACATTTGCTTTACTGTTATTATTGTGTTTGAATCCAATTATTTTTCTTCTTGCACCAATTTTATTGCATGGCAATTTCACAAGTATGAAACACATGAAAATTCCTTCACCCCTATCCTTCATTTGCGAGACAGCAGCCCAGACACTCAGTCGGCTGTACTTTAAATGTCTGTAGAAACACAACAAATACTTGCTTCAGACACCAGCTAAACAGTAGCACTTGGTTACAGCTAGTTTTTACATCTTGCCAATGCTTTTAACTTCTGCTTCCACCCCGTCAGCTTTCTTCTTTCTAAGAGCAGCTCTCATTTTGATACAATTACTTAGAACTGGTTGACAGCTGCACGTAGGAGCAAACAGCACAGCCTACAGCTTTATTTTTCAGAGGTAAAAAAAAAAATATAATGGTGGCTGGTGAAAGGAAAATAATTAGCATTTAGAATTCTTCCACGTAACTTAAGCTTTTAACTTGCAGAACACAGATAAAATGGAAAATGTTATGACTGGTTATTTATGCATATTTCCTCCCTTTTTTTTCCTACCAGTGATTTTAACTGACAGGATTCTTGTGGAACAAGCTTCCTCCACTCTGCACTGAGTAACACAACAGTATTTTGTTACCAGATTAAAACCCGAAGAAATTTAGTTCAGTCACTTCACCTTTGGTCCCTCATATAGGAAGGAGTCCCAGATTTTAAAAAGGATGTCGCTAACCACACTGTCCACAAACACCACGAGAAACCAGTTGAAAGTGATAAGAGTATAGTCAACTTTGTACTGTTCAAAATGAGCATGTAGTCGTGGAAGCTTCTCACTCATTAAGTCTTTGAATACTCGCTGATCAACCTACAGAGAAGAAAAAGATGACATTATTGCTCCTGCATTGTCCAACACCAGTGTAATTCACAGTAAAGCTATTGCCAGTCTTCAAGGGCAGGTTTTTCAAGAGCTAACTGGGAAATCTAGACTGTTTAGTTAACATTTCTAAGCTGGATCCATCCAAAACTTACAGGGCCACCCAAATGCACACCACCCTTGCTGACACAACTTTATGTTGTGGTCCTACTACAAGTCACGAGTGCTGCACTGGTGCAGGAGCACCGGTGCAAAGAATAAGCTGGGGAAAGACTTGGAGGGATGAGGCAGCGCATAGCAGAGCCTGGCTTGGAAGCAGAGGAGAGCTACAGCATACACTGCTTGCAGTCCTGCAAAATGCATTCTCACTCCCACTCTCACAGGGAGCTCATAACCATCCCTCACAACCCCCCACATTTTGAGGGAAAAAAAATACAGCTCAATGTTATGAAGCTACAGGAGGGGTTACAGTCTGGAGTTGCAAGCAGATTGCTGAACAGTTACATCAGTATTATAGTCAGTCCTGGACCAAATAGGGTCCCTGGTGCCTGCAACTGAACTGTCAACTCAACACATCCCCCAAAGGTCTATTGGACAGTTTTAGAGGAAAGATTTTTAACTGGCTGCAGTTTACAAGACCACACTTGATTTGGGCAGAGCACATACCTGGGATCCTAGCAGTGTCTTGGTGTAGTAATCACGAGGCATGAAAACTTCCACTATTGCTACTAGACACCAAAAAGCATCTTCCTGTTCCAAGTACAGAAGTGCAATTGCTACCAATCTGAAAATAGGGTTTATTTGGAGAAAAAGATTATTACAGTATCAAAAAATGTATTACAATCAAAGCCTTTGTTTCTGTTCAGCAGAGCTAAGTACATTAACAGGAGTGCACTAAACAGCAAAACTGCTAATTAAGACAGGGCCTTTCAAGCATGTTTACTTCATATCCATTAAGATAAACATAAGTAATACTTCCATCTTTATCTATCATTGTCTTTTAAGGAGAAGAAAAAGCCTGAACATTTTTAAAAGGCTAAATTTTTTCTAAGAATTTCTTTAAACAGAGAAAAAACCCCAAATTAAACAGCAGCAGCATTCCTGGTTTTCCTGTTTCCAATGAGTATTATTGAAAGCAAAAAAATAATTGGATTATAACTTGATGTTACGGATTGTTGCTTGAGTATGAAAGGTAACCTCCAATATATTTCTCCAAGTAAACCTGTTTTATTTCTGTAAGGAGGAGCTGTAACAACATTGAACTGCTTCTGATGTTACAGTTTAATACAGTGATCATACTCTAAAAGCTTAAGAGAACCAAAGCAAGCAATAAACATTTACTTTGCTTTTAACTTCTACAAGTATCCCTAAATGCAGAATTATTTACAGTAGAATGAAAAAGAAAAATGTCCCAGGAAAAGATCACGCTGCACAGGAAGTTCAACTGTAGGCAAAAGCATTTTTAACACCTCCTAGGCATCAGAGAGATGTTGCTCCAGGACTGCAACAACCATGTTCTCCAGACATTTCTTGTGACATGTCTGTGACACTATTAATATTAAACATTATTTACCTACAGAACATAACCACTAGTGAGGAACACTCAGAAAACAAGTAGTATTACTACATTACTCACTACTGCTATCACCACCACCTCACTACTTCTACTATATTCACACTCACTGCCTCTATTTGACTACTTTTTCAGTGCAGTTTCAAATCATAAAGCTGCTCCGGTTCGTAAGTCTTTTCCTACTCTAGTCCATAAATTACTGCACAAATTGATACCTAAGCTATTACATCATTGGGACAAGGAGGATGTTAGACAAACACCTGCTTCAAATAACACCTTCCTTTACTACAGATCTCAAAGTAACAGAGCTACTTCAGCAAACACCAAGTGCAATGACTTCACATTTTTCTTGGGCTTGTGACATGATAATCGTCCTGTAATTGATCACTGGGAAATGCTGACATGTGGCCTTAACCATATCAAAGGCATTTCTTTCTGCTTGTTAAAATAACAAGCCACAGGTAAAAACCTAAGAAACTCTTGCACACAAAAGCAAGATCCCCTATAACTGACTTGAAGACCATGTAAAACTACACTGAAGTAGCCCATTTTGTACGTGTCCAGTTCTTTCACCAAGATAATTTTACAAGTTTCATGATCCAAATCTTCTGATTGTTATCAGTTTTTTAAAATGTGATGGCTATCAGTTTACTCAAACACCATAAATTATGAACACACAACCCAAAAAGCAAACCTGCCCGAACTCAGGTTGATAATGATGTCATTTGAAAGGCTCATTACGCATTTCACTGTATAGTCATAACTTACAAAACCTTACCTGTTGAGCCCTTGGCAATACCCTATATCAGGATTTCTCCAGGAAAATGCCAGCAGAACGTTCCGCAGCTTCTGGATCCCTTCCGATGTTGGGGAGGAATAATGTTTGTTGTTTGGCAAAGTCCTCAAGAGATCCAACTCAATTTGTTTAGATGCAGGGTTTTGTTTTTCCAGAGCATTTTGAAGCAAGGTTTGGAAGTACCCAGGAACAGTGCTGTCCTTGAATTTTTTAACGTGGAGACCGATACACCATTTCCACATCTTGGAACGATGTTCATGTGGAATTCCTGATCGAATAAGGTTCTTCAGTTCCACACAGCGCATCATCTCTCTGTTCATGGTGCTTGCAAGATAGTTTTCCCATTTTACCCCTGCTGAGATCTCTCGATTTTCACTAAGAGAAAGGGATTTCAGGTCCAAAGCTCGTGATTTTGCTACTAGTTTCTCCTCATCATCATCCTCTGGGACTGTCTGAAAACCATATATGTCATATTCACTGAAATAGAGGGGAAAAAAGAAATAAGGCTTTAATCAGTAGCACTGAAACTCTCAAGTTCCCATCTACAGTTATGTCAAACATCCCTCAAGCCACTCCCTATAGTTTTCAAGTTTTAAGAAATATTACTTATATCCTTTATTAAAAATTATTTTTATAATCCCATATAGAAAAGATTTGGTGCCCATATTCCAGTTGTTACTACATAGTTTAAGCAGTTTAAGAACATAGTCAAGTTCAGATAAATCCATCTCTTCACCTTCAGCAGCTATATGGCAACATTTTAGTCTGAGTTTAATGTTGTATCTCAAATAAAATAAATGTATTTCTACAGCCAAAAGGATTTAATGATAACACTGCTATTCATGAAAGGAATTACAATAAAACCCCCAAATCCTGCAAATATATCCCCACTGTCTGTTTTTCAGGCAGTTGTGCTAGAACTGAACCCCCCAAAGATACACATTTTATTTATTTAATTGTTATTTTATTTTAATTTGAGCAAATTACCTGACCAGGTGTGGTTTGAAAAATGCTTGTTCTGGTTGTTCACTTGTTTCTGCTTTCAAGGCATCTTCCAGTAACTGAGTGATGACCTCACGAGCAGGGCTCTGCTCCTCAGAACAAACAGGAGTTTTCATTTCTTGAAGCAAGATCAAGTATTTACTTTCTATCTGACAAAGTTTGGCTTCCAAGCTGGTATACTGCAGAAAACAACATATAGTATTGTAAGTCTTCAGAAACTTACTTTGTGATGCACTTCTTTTAAAACCTGGTTAAACAGTTTTCTATTAGTTTATTTTGCTTAGAAACTTGTTACTAAGAACAGTCAGCTTTACTTTCCCATTTTTGTAGCACCAGAAAACATAAACCAATCCTTATGTGTGGAAAATGAAAACTATATATGCATTTCATTACAATGCTGTAAAATTCTACGTATAAAGTATTTGGGAAAGAAAACTCAGAGACTTGTGCTTTTTCACAGCAAGTCTTTTAAGGCAGAAATCATAGACAAGACTTTCCACATGTATTTTTTACATGTGGAAAATCTGAGCAAGCTTTATCATTATACTGTGTGAACAACCACCAATTTGTGCTTTTCAAGTAACTATTTTAGTCTATGCAGAAAGAACTTAACAGGAATTTTAAAGATACTTGTTAGGTAATAGCACCTAGGAACTGGAAACACACACCTCTATGCCAAAACTACAGCATTCAGACCTGATGTCCTGGTTTGAGTCAGGATGAAGCCAATTTTTCTTTTTACTGATTTTTTTTTCCTTCAGTAAGCTTTCTTGTAGCTAGCAACAGTGTGTTCTGCTAGGCTGATAAGACAGTGGAATGTTTTTCTAACTACTGAGGCTTCAAGGCTGCACCTGCACTCTGCCAGCTCAGACACTATGGGGAGATCTGTGACCCCCCCGTAGGAGGCTGAGGTTAGATGGACAGCAAAATTGGCCAAAGATATTCCATTCCATATATCTACGTAAGCTCAGAGGAAGGTCAGAGATCACAGAAGACAACTTCCTCCCTTCTTCTTCTCCCCTTCTCTTCCGTCCATGGCCGGCGTCCAGGGAGGACTCTGTTCATCCATCACCGTCGATCCTCAGGCTTGATCTCTCGTGACCCCCATAACTCTCTGCTCTGTTCCAGCAGCAGCTCCGGGATTCCTCGGGACTCTTCCCAGTTCAGGGAAGTGCTGTGGGAGTTGCTGGGGTGGGGGGAGGCGAGAGGCTTTTGCCCATTCCTGAACATATCTGTACATAATTGTATATATTTTCTTGTATCATTCATTAGTGTTTTAATTAAAGCTGTGTAGTTTAGTTTTCAATCCAGCCAAGTCTCTCTCTTTTTCTCTCTCTCCTTCCCGACCTGGGTTGGGGGGAGGGGGGATCAAGAGCATTGTTGTCGGACCTGAGTCAAACTGTGACAACAATTTATTGGTACTCAATGGGGCTCAAACCCACAAACCCTGGGATTAAGAGTCCCATGCTCTACCAACTGTGCTAGCCAGGCTCAGCTAGTGGGGATCAGCATTGCTTGTGTGCAGATTTTTGGGCGCCAAAAAACCTCTCGCCTCCCCCCACCCCAGTAACTCCCACAGCACTTCCCTGAACTGGGAAGAGTCCCGAGGAATCCCGGAGCTGCTGCTGGA